ACAATTTAGGGAGCGGTTTAAGGGTCTGTTACACCCGATTAATGGGGCAATTAAGCCCCCATTAAGGAGCGGATTAAAGGGACGGTTACACCCCTTAATCCCCTATAAATATCAGAAACTCAATTGAGTTTAGGGATCAACTTTTTGCATTAAAAAGATTGTAAAAGGAGAGATCGGCTCGGCTTCTTCAGACCTTCTTGGAGCTCTGGAGATCAGCAACTTGAAGAAACTCTTGAATCATCTTGTAAGGCTTTTATTAAAGCCTTTGAGATTACTCGACTTGGCTCTTGAACTCTTTCTAGGAGTTCTTCTCAACTCGATCAGAGTTCAAAACTTACTCTGCAAGTTCTTCTAAACTCGCTCTGAGTTCATAAACTCGTTAAGAGTTAGTTTTAAACTTGCCACGTAAGTTCTCCATAGCGTCAAATCGTGAGGAGAAGATATCGTTCTAGTGAAGTGAAACATCGGATCGTCAACGGAGAGCAAACTCAAGCGAGAATTCGAGGGAGGCACTCCATCGCCACCGTGAAGAACCCAGAATTAAACAAAAGGAAGGATCTCTTTCGATTCTCTTCTCTTTTATAATCAGAAAATTTGAATTGTAATTAAGATTGAGAGAGTTGTAAATATTCTTTTTCTAAGCAGTTAGGGAGAATGAAACCAAACACAGTTCTTTCATTTTCATTTCACAAATTTTCCAACAAACAATAGGATATAATTATGATTAGGATAGATTAAGATATAAATAAAATATTTATAATAATGAATGGTAATATTGACCATAGAAAGATTTTTCCGAACTCGTGTTTTTAAAGGGAGTATGATGCTCTCTCAGTAAAGGCAATAATAATGATTCTTTTTCTCTCTTTATTTGTCTTCAAGGAAAAAGGCATGCTTATTTTTTTCTGTAAATTACTAGCAAAATGTTATCTACTACTTCTTTTAACTAAAAGGGAACAATGAATGAATAGTAAAAATTCTTAGGGCCAATCAGATTATTTTTAAAAATAAACTTTATTCCCCTAAAAACACTCTCACGTCTTTTTAGCCTTATCTTCCCCCTAAATAACTTCCTCTAGTCCATACCTACACCCACAACTCTACCAAATCCGACACCTCCCTCTCCGCCTCCCTCCGCCGCCTCCGCGACCCCGACTCCTCCGTCAGATCCGTCGTCGTGGACGCTGTCGTATCCCTCGCCGCCTCCAACCCCGCCGCCGTATCCTCTCTGCTCTTCTGCCCCCCTCTCCGACGCGTTCCTCCACGAGCCGAACCAGCCCGTCGTCGTGGACGCTGTCGTATCCCTCGCCGCCTCCAACCCCGCCGCCGTATCCTCTCTGCTCTTCTGCCCCCCTCTCCGACGCGTTCCTCCACGAGCCGAACCAGCACGCCCAGTACGCCGCCACCTATCCTCGTTGTTCCATCATCGTCCTCGTTGTTTCATAAGGTCGAATCGAAACCCTAGATATTTGTCCAGTTTGATCCTCATGTAAGGCTACATGTTGCCTTTAGATTTGATACAATTTGGATTAAATTTTGATTAAATTCTGTATGGAGTTATAAATTACAGGGTAGTGATAATCACATTTTTATTATAATTTTATACCCCCATTATCTATTTTATATGAATAAATATACCACTAATAATTATTTTTATCTTTAGTTGCAGGTTAATCAAAAATAAAACCCAAGATCTCTTCTCTCAACAAAAGCCCATGGATTAAATAAAGAACTCAAGAAAAAACCAAAAAAGCCCAAGCCCAAAGCCAATGAAAGAAGAAACGGCGGCCAACAATTAGAGAAGCATGCACATCGATGCCGACGAGAGTCTTTTACGAATCTAATGCTGAAATTTAAGAGTTTTGGATAAGAATTCAATCCAAAGGTTCACATTCATGGATGTTTACTATAAATAAGAGTAGGGAATGAGGGGTTAAAGGTGTGAAAAATTTTGTAACTCTATTTGGAGAGAATGATTACTCTTAATTGATAAGATCTTCCAAAATTATAACTTTTTGTTGTAATTAAAAATAAAAAAATTTCACCTCTTCATATTTTTCTTTTCTTCTCTTTATTTGATGATGAAGATGAAGATGGAGATGAAGATGAAGATCAAGATGGAGGTTTGCTTTCGTCTTGAGGCTAGAACCCTCTCAGGATGTAAATTTTCTCTTTGTTACTATATTTATCTTTTTACTTTATTTTCTTATTAAATAGCCAAGAGGCTAGAACCCTCTTTGACTTGAGGCAAAACCTCAGTGTCATCTTCGAATTTGAAGTCTAGAAACTTGTTAATGAGATGAGACTTGGACAGTTTCTCCTCATCCTTGTATCGATCCTCCAGAGCATTCCAGATTTCCTTCGCAGAAGGCTTGTTGGTGTAAGCATTTGCTAGATGATTGGCCAGGCAGTTAAGGAGATAACTCCTACAAAAATGATCATCTTTAGCCTAAGAGGCTTCAGACTCAGAGTCATCTTCAAAGTCGGGTTTCTCCTCAGAAACCACAAAGTAGATCTTTAGGAGTTGCATCCCGAAGATTACTTTTCGACACTATGCGTTAAAGTTAAATCCGTCAAAATTCTCTAACTTGAGACAGTCCACTCCAAGAGTCCTCACGGGATCCATAATAGATCAGAAATGTTGCTTGACTGTTGGAGATTGTGGTTAAATCTGGAATAAAACAGAGAATTTTTTATGTGCTGTAATTTTAAACTTTTTCAAATTAACTGATGTGCATTTGTGAAACGTTGTGATTAAAGAAATATTTGGTCTACTCTGATGCAAGGATCCCAAGGCCAAACTATTTTCAGGAACAGTAGTACAGTACTCTGGTGTGCACCAACCCAGTACTGTCAAGATCTCCTCGATCTATAAGACCTTCGGTCAAGACAAAGATCTCCTCGATCTCAGAACCTTTCGGTTCAAAACCTTTCGGTTTTAAGGAAAAGTTCCTTCGGACACAGTTTCTACAGCAGCAGCACAAAAGCAGCAACAATGTCAAGATCTCATCGATCCGACGTTCGTTTTCCAAGTTCTTCTCAAGAGGTGCCCAATGGGCGCTATTTATAGGCCTCTAAAGCCAGGTCAAGAGTCATCCTCAATTAAGGAACCAATATTTATTTTGGTAATTTATGTAGAAGGGTTATTTAGATATTAGTCCCTAAAAACTTCAAATATTCCATATTAGTCTGTCAAATCTTTCAATTTCCTTATTAGTCCTACCAAAATGCTCAGAAAAATTCCGTTTGTATGAAAGTGCATTTTTATCTTTTCATGTGTAAAGTTAAGCTCTGTTAGCACTCTTGGCCATTAAACTCAGGGTTACCCTTGTAAATATCCAAACCGTAGGGTTACCCATGTAGTTACATCATACTATACAAGACACCGGAATGTAATTAATCCTTAAGGCCCCGTTTGACAAAGGGTTAATGAAGATGGGTTAAATAGAAGGATTAATGTACTTAGCCCATTTGATAATCCGAAGGACTAAATTATTAACCCGTTAAATAAGTTTTATTTTAGCCCTTATGATCAGTTTTAGTGTTTGGGAATAACAATGATTTTGACTATTTTCTTTATAATTAGAAGGGTTAACTCTTATTCCATCTAAAGAGGAGTATTAGTAAACCCCTCATTTTGAGGGGTTAACTCATTTTAACCCCTCTAGAGGGGTTAACTTAACCCTTCTATATTTTTTATGTTTGGCAAATTATGGAGGGTTAACTCACTTTAACCCTTATATAGATTTGTTGTGTTTGGCAGGTTAAGAAGGGGTTAAGTCTCCTTAACCCCTCACTTAACCCTTTGCCAAACGGTACCTAAATAAATTCCATGCCAACAGACTCCTCCTAGCAAACAACAAATAGAGCTCACTGTAAAACAAGCTTTGATCCAACGTGAGAAATTTTTATTGAAATTTGACATAGGCTTTTGAAAATGCTTGTTATCTAACAGTGCATCATGCATCATATATTCAGGGGGGAACACCTCACTTGTTCCTCTTTAGGTCCCCTACTTGAGGTCTCTGAGATATTTTTGTAAAAATATATGATGAATTAGTTTTAAAGAAATTAAAATAAAATATTTTATTAAAAATTTTGGATTAAGAGATATATTTGGAACTACTGCAACTATTATTTAAATGTTCTACTCCACGATTTATCATTAATAGAAGTATTTTCATTTTTTGGAGCCTCTTTTATTTTACACTCTCTAATATTTAAAAGCTTAGTTGTAGATTTATTGAAATTATTGAAAATTTCACTATTTGTAATCTTAGCTGTAAATGGCGGGAGAGGGAGCGGAAGATGGAGAGGTAATGTGGTAAAAGTGGACGAATATCTATACAGTCTATTCATTCAAAAAATTTTCAAAATTATCAATTTGACCTCACACAAATCACTAATTTTCCTATAAACTCAATTATGCAATAGGAAATTTATCATCATTCATTCACTTTTATCTACCTCCACTAAGATTTTATAGAGTAGTACTATTGTATTGGCAATTGCGAATGCATGTGCAGTTAATTAATTTTTGATATCTAAAGATGATCCTGCATGTTAATTATGATATAATCATTTAATGTGCATTTATAGTATTTCTAGTAAAAAAATGTTGATCAAAATAATAAGAATTTATATATATATATATATATATATATATATATATATATATATATATATATATAAAATTCATGTTAAATAAGGCTTTAATTTATAGTATGTTACTTCCTAGTTCACATTATGTTGCATTTTTATTTTCTTAAATTACATGTTTTAAAAAATGCATGAAATTTTAAGTTTGAGAAAGAAATTGAGGAATGAAAATAATGGAACCTTCTCGAGAAAAGGAAATGAAATTTTAAATTTGAAAAAAAGATGGATTTAAATTTGAAATAGAGATGAAAGAATGAAATGTTACGAAACCCTGTAGAAGGAAGGAGGAAGAGAAGGGACCCACATCAATAAGATGGTAAAAAATGACTAAACTACCCCCACCTTTTATTAAGATGCCTTTCAATTCTCATATAAAATTGAAGGAATAAAAACTCATTTCTCCACTTTTGTATAACATCGTAATTGCTTTTATATAATATAGATAGATAACAAGCACGATTGGCTCGGACCATGCAATTTTGTTGTACCTATGCACGCTGAGCAGAATGCTTTTGGCTAATTAGTCTTTCCCAATCAAACAAAACTAGTGTGCACCCCGTGCAAAACACGGCCTCCATTTTTTTATTTCCGCTACATTAATTCGATTTTTGTAGGTGCTACAATGATATTTTTTTAAATGCTTACAGTATCCCGTCGAACTATAGTAACATATAGCGTGAATAGTGAATCTTGGATCATCCCATTATTACAGAGGAATAGATCTCTTTTTTTATGTTAAACAAATCTTTTTTGGCAGGGCAACATTAACAATCTCACGTGATATATTTACTAGAATCAAATAGTGGAAATTAGTTTCAAAATTTTAATTAGATTCTAAACTATCGAAGTTTCACGAAAATATTAATAAAAAAGAGCATTGCTTCGGTGCTCCCAAATTAGCAATTTTAGCATTTTTAATTTGAAAAAAAAATTAAAAACTATCTAAAAAGCTGGAAGGGCATTTTTGTCCAACCTATTTACTTACTTTCCTAATTATCCTCTTCCAAAACCATGCTATGTTTTTACTCTATCTTCGTTTTCTCTCTTGCTGCACCAATTCTTCGCTCCCAGGGCCACCACCACAACTCCATCCAACCCTTCTCCTCCATCTACGCCTTCTTCCCGACCTTCCACCCTCTCCGCCGCTCTAGAAATCTATCTACCATATCCTTCCTCCTCGAACTAGACCGATCATCACCTCTCCTACATCGTCGCCTCCTACGCCTTTTCCGGCATACTTGACTGAGCCCCACCAGAAACAAAAGTTTAGTTGATCCAGAAAAGGTATTTTAAGCCTGACAATTTGATTTCTAATTTTTTTCCATTAATTTGTTTTTTTTTATTCCTGTGGGTTTACTTGCTTGGTTCTTGAATTTCTTCTATGCAAATTTGTCTTGCATGCAGATGTACCTTATCCCTTTACATGGAAATGTATAAGTGTGATTGCCTACAGTTGCTCCTTTTTTATGATTAATTGAAAGAATTTCCCTGAGTAGCAATGAATAATTGAAGGTTGTTAGTTTAATTGAGGGATGACACTAATCAAAACGTTGTTTATTCACATTATCATCACCATATTAGCGAGATATCAATAAAGTCACAAGTACATAAAAATAAGACAGTAAAAATTATAACGTAAAATATTAGTTAGCTGGAGAATTCTAACTAACCTAAATTATATTTCCTTAACTAACATATTTATCTATAGTTAATTACAATTTTGGGTGGGGAACACTTCCTAACCGTCAAATCTATCTATCTAAAAATATGAGAGCTATTTTTAAGGAATTTATTTACAGATATGCCACTGATGCTCTAACAAATCTTCATAGAACACCGAAGATATAGGCAATAAAAAAATATACCCCTTTCCTTCTCTTACACACCATAATCTTCACACATTTGACTCACACACTACCGTACAGTAGATAGAAATAACCAGATATTAACCGCAGTCTCCCCCCGGAGGAATTTCACAAGAGAGAGAGAAAAAATGGCGATGGATCCGAAAGCAGACAAGCTCATAAGGAGAACGGCCATGGTGGCCTCCATCACAGCCGCCTACTTCCTCCTCACCGCCGACTACGGCCCTCAGGAGAATGCCTTAGGCCCTGTGAGTTATTTACAATTATACCCTCGACAACACTGGGTTTATGTTTTCTCGCTTTTGCTTTGAGCTTTATACACCTTAAAACCCTAAACCCTAATTGTGAAATTTGTTGTAGACCAATTTGATTGATGGGTTGATTTTAAGCTTAAGGTTAAAAAAATGTGTTTAGGGTTCATAATTTATTCTATTTCGGCAAAAATTTACTTGCTAAACCATTATATTATCAAGTTGTGATTGCTTGATTTATGCTTAGAAGAGGACTTGATTATGAACCAAAATGTTATGTAGAGTGAGGTATGGAGAATTTCTTTCCCCTTTTCAATATGTGGTTGATTATGCATCAGATCGCATTAGTATGTATTGGGGTTTTTTTTTTTCTTTCTTGAAATCACTCTTAAAATAGGATCATTCCTTTAGAAATCATCTTTGATTGTCAATTTATACGTGAAAAATCTTTAAAGCATTTTGTGTCGCAGCCAGGGATTTGATAACTACACATTACAGCAACACCGAAAAAATCAACTAAAAAGACTCTTAGGTTCTTGATTGCAACAAAAAATCATTTAAAGATGGTTTATGTATAAATTGACAATGAAAGGTGGTTTCTATAGGATGACCCTATATTTCCCAACCTAATAAGATTTTCATTATTAGAGACCCTGTTATTTGCCATGTTGGTGAGCCTTAATCTATTATAGAGGACATATCAAAATATCACCTTGTTAGTCCTTTTGAAATCAGGTACATAAATGATAGGTGATTTGTAAGCGCGAGCTCATGGAGAGAAATTTAAGCACTCCCACCGTTCAGCCCACTAAACAGTTATAGTAACCTCGATTAATAAAGAAGTTGCATTTGGGGAAAAAAAGATTTTGCATCAGTAAGGCATAATAGAGAGAGATATCTCTAACAGAAATAAATCCAGAGCTTTAACAAACACTCTAGTATCATTAGTTATCTTTCGATGTGCTTGGATGATTTTGTACTGTTTTACCCTTTGTCACATCAGCCCTAATCCCAAAACCGTTTGATAAACAGCAATGTTAGATCTGGGTTTTCCCCCCATGTTCATGAACTGGGGGTAATTTTGGAAACTACTGAGATTTGGGAGGTAATTTTGCAAATATAGATGATTTAAGGGAATCTAGTAAAAAAAACAAATTAGTAGAAGGGTCGTTCCCTATTTTCCCTCTAAACTATTAAAATGTCTCTATGTACTCTTGAACTATTTTCTGTCACATCCTACCTCCTGAACTATTATAAATCTGTTTTTGTTTACCTTGTGAACTATTTTTAGTTCCACCTTGTCGTTGAACTGTCACTTTGCTCTCATAAATCTATTTAAAATACCCATAAAATAATAAATGAAAAGCGGTAACTAAGTATGAAAGTGGTAGTTCAGGGTTGTAAGGTGGGACTAGTAATAGTGCAAGGGTAAACATGGAAAAATTTAATAGTTCAGGATGTAAAATGAGACTGGAAATAGTTTAGGCGGTGAAATGCAGTGACAAATTCAACTGTTTTGGGGGGAAATGGGGGCCGAAGCTTTGATAAAATCAGAGAGGCTCATGTATTTAACACCAAATGAGTTGGGGTTAAAGCTTTGCTATTATTGCACATAGTATATACCAAAAATATAAACAAATTATATGTGAAGCTCAAAATTGATAGACTCTCATGATGGTACCAAGAAAACTAACAATAAAGTTCTGACTTAACATGTTCTATTTTCAGATAAAGAGAGGCATAGAATCTGTTGAGTCCTCTGTGAAAAATTTTATCTTTGGCCGTGGCAAAGAAACTGAAGGTAATCATCAGACCTCATCTCAACCGAAAAAGCCTGAACAAGATGATAAGGCGAAAGCGAAGTAAGCATTGGAGAACTGAAGGCAATCCCTAGTCTTTTGACATTTACACGTAATGCTGCTTTTAATTAGAAGATTGATATGTTTGGGGATAGTCTTTTGTCACTGTTGTTTTCTGCTGATACCGAGTGCTATAAAACTCAATTGAGTTGTATATGGTATATGGTTTCCTAACTATATGGATGATATAAGTTTCTGTTTTCGATCTTCCATAGGATATTTTGAGATCAAACACCTAGTGTTGGATCCGGTTGTTTCTCACTATGAATGACTACATGACATGATAGTGAATGAATTGAAATTAATCTATATTCTTTCCCAAAAAATGTTTCTCCTTTTTTTCCCCATTTTCTGGGATACTTCTCAGTTTGGGATAATGATGTCCCAATGTTTTGGAGAAATTTCCTATTCCTAATAAATGTAATACATGATCAGGTACTGATATTCTTTCTATGCCCATATGCATATCTCAAGTTCAAGACAAATGCTTGAACAATAATTATGAATTCAAAATGATTACATTTGGATATTGATTGTTCTTTTCGAGTGTCACATTTTTGCGTTCTCTAAATAGTTAATTATGGACTTTGATAGTTTCTCTACCTTTTAGCTTTTGTGATCCCAACCCTATAGCCGATATGGGGATCAAATTTAGCTTCAACAAGTTGGATACTTCTAACGTGATGGAAGACGCAAATTCAACCATTTTCAGTATAGAAAATCATCACAAGAAAGAAAGTAAGAGCTGGGGCTTCCTAACTCCTTTTTTGATGGATTATTATAATCATAAAGTTTGACCACGTAAAAGAAAATTTTATCCTCATGATTTTACAAATTTTCTAATAACACTTATCATTCTAACTCTTATTTCATCTCTTTTTATTTTTTTTAATCTTTGACAGCAATGATATGTTATACAATTCATCCGTTTGTCAAACATGTAAGTTCAAAAACATATTACAATCTACTAAATTTACCACTTTGAATTATTATCTACTTGGATTATAACTCAAATGAATTGTAATCCATAGTTCCCAATCGTGCTTTCAATCAGACGTTACTTGCTCTCAAACAGACATTACTTTTTAATGAAGCAGAAGTATTTTTACGACTTCCAACTTTCAAGTTGCTTCACGTAATTTTATGTCATTTAGCGCCAGAAGAATTTTACCCACAGTCCAGTAACAACAACAGAAGTGAACATATCTCCAAATAAACAACTATTGAAATGAAAATAAGAAAAAGTTTGATACAAGAAGCTTACAAGAAAGAAGAAAAACCACCCACAAAATAAAATCATCACAACTGCTGCAAAAACCACATAATTCACCATAAGAAACAAACATATACACTGCAACCTGTCATAAAAACAGCAATATTCCACATTTCAGCACGAAAGAATGGTGTCCTTCCTATTTTGCTTGCCAACTGAGGACTTATTACTTCGCGTTTGTTTCTTTCAAGGATGTGTACCCAAGCTTCGGTCGCTGCTTCCATATATACACACAATGATACAATATGGAGGGGCGAGTCAAATATTTACCGAGATTACGAGAACCCCCGTCACCTGAAGAGTTGTGCCTAAAACCTGATGCAAAATCATTGTCGCCGATTTTTTTTTAAAATATATATAGAAGAAAAGGTGATACTTATTGTACTAGTTTTTTCTTATTCAAGTGAATGACGGGAGGTAAAAGGCCACTCCATTTTATCTTCAAATCGGTAATGAAATAAGAGGGTCTCGTCATTCTAGCAATAGCACCAGAATAACACAAAACGTAGGTACATTTGGTACTAAATAAGAAAGGGTAAATTTACTTATACCAAACTACCATGAACTAGGAGATATTTTGCCCAGAACTACCATAAACTTTTTTTTTTATTAGATAAATTAGCATGAACTTTCAAAAGTGCAGAAAAATACCATGATCTAGTGAATATTGTTGCTAAGAGGTCAACAATTTGGATAAGAGGTCTAGACTACCCTTCAAAATAGGATAGGGGCAAGGATAACAATATAGAGTACATAAGGGCAAAATTGTCTGAAACATGTCACGTGAACGTGAAAACTTATCTGCCATTAGATATGGTAGTTTCTCTAATAAAAGAAGTTTATAGTAATCTTCAGAGACCTAACTCCCATAAAGTATTATGGTAATTTCTGAAATTTACTCTGAAAGAATTGTATACCTACAATTCCATAAGAAGCAGTGAGTTACCTCAAATTTTGTGTTTCTAGGTCGCCAAACATCAGGATCCACCCATCACTTCTTTTTAGCTTCAAGGGATGAGCCATCTTTCAAAGCTTCCCGAGCTTCATTTTCCAGTCCTAGGGAGAAAAGGGCAGCAGCCTGAAGATAAAATGCAGTTGGCCATGTTGGAGATATCACTAGAGCCTGAGTTGCGTCATTAAGAGCTTGCTGGGGCATGTCACTCATCAGATAAGACAGGCAACGACGCGCAAAAACAGTTGGAGAGACCATGGTTCCAACATCAATGAACTGCACATGACGTATTTATCAGAATAATACAAATGCAAATTACATCTGCTCTATTGGCCAAGAAATTCATTGAAATAAAAATTTAATTTGAGAGAATAAATATAAAAGCAAAGAAGCATGCTCTGAGGAAGCAGTTACCACAGATCATTATTATCAATCACTTTAAAGTTTTTATAGTCTTGGTGCATAAACTAATACAACTGGCTGTATCATAAAAATTTTCTTTATCGTATTATCTACCTGGTACATCATAGTATGCAGTGTTTTGTGGCTGTAGCAGTAAACTGAAGGAGCTAAAATTAGCTTTTTTCAAAATATGCTGGCTAATAATGATTGAGAGGATTATTTCTTGAACTTTCATCACTAGCTCCATCGTTGCTATGTCAACATACATATGACACAGCCTCAAGGTTTATCAAGGATGTAATTTCATATAAATTCAAATTCCTGATCATGTAAGCCAAGAAAAATTAAACACCAGTCAGCCCAAATCATACTGTCTCCAGTTGTTCAATGCTGACATAAATTGAGAGTCTAAGACCCATAACCAAGCATCTTGCATGTGTCACTACAAATATGTGTCAGGCATAGATATAAATCACAAATATGTAATTTCATATAAATTCAATTTCCTGATCATGTAAGCCATGAAAAATTAAACACCAGTCAGCCCAAATCATATTGTCTCCGGTTGTTCAATGCTGACATAAAATTGAGAGTCTAAGACCCATAACCAAGCATCTTGCATGTGTCACTACAAATATGTGTCAGGCATAGATATAAGAGCCTCTAATGCATGTTGATCCAACACAATGGCAGCATTCCCATTGATCACTTAAAGAATCGTGCAAGTTATGCAAGGTAGGATAAGCAAATTAAACATAGGCAACCTGTACATGGTATTCAACTGTATTATTAAAAATCTCGATCCATTACTCAAAACATATTTCATGGTCATTCAGAATCATCTCTAGACAACCGTGCTACTTAGGTGATTTTGGCAGCAAGTATAACATCATGACAGTATACGAACCAAAACTAAAAGAAAATTATGCAAAGGAATTAGTAAGCATAGAATAACCTGTGAATAGCAGTCAATTGCTGTACTAAAATCTTTATGTCGAAAAGCAGCATCACCCTTTTTCTTTGAGTTCAATGTCTCTTGCATTTGATTGGTCCACATCTGAAAGGACAGCTGGCAAAGAAATAAAAAGAAAAGGAATAATGAATAAGAAACACTACAAGGTAATGTGAGCATTGTAAGGGATGATGATATTATCTATATACGGAACGCTTACAAACAAAAATGAAGCCTATACACTTAAAACTTTATGCTGCATAAAAACGGACACAGGACATGGAGAACGCAATACACGGGAATACAAAATCTTAAAAAATTGATTGGACATTGAAATATCATGCAAACGGTCATGAAAAATATTAGATTCTAATGTGTGTATAAAAAATTATGATAAGACGGTATATAACCTCAAAATCAACCACAAATCACAATTAGTACAGATGCAATTTCATATCTAATCTAAACTACAAATGATATAAACCATGAAAATTAGATAACATCCGATCATAATCCAATTGTCTTCATCTGCTCAAGGTTTAAAATTTATAGGACATATTGGTTATGCATCCATCAAGTATCTTGCATGTGTTTAGCGCATATAAATATGATGTCATTGCAACATAACTAAAGTCATGAAAATGAACTTGGACGACAATAAGTTCCAGAAAAGGGGATAAGAAAGATTTCGGAGCTGTATATTCTGTCAAGAAGCCGTTGAAGAAAGGAATTTGCTGTCCAACCATGGGTGGCTAAACTCATCAACCTCTCCAACTACCAAGAAAGAACAAAACAGATACATAAATAATAGGCAAAATTGTCTGTATCTGTGATTCACAATGAATGACAAGACATTTGTCAACAACCAAAACAACCAAGAAAGAACATGTGTGCATGCATAAATTTATAAATAAGTAAACAAAAAAATGACACTGGCATATTGATATTAGGCAGAACTCCAATAAAGGTTCTTTATGTGCTGTCTAAATATCATCTAGGTCATTTATGTTCGGAAGTCGTCAGTGGGAGGCCCTAACATTATTTTGGTCATCAACATAGATCATTTTTACAAACTTCCATTAAATCTTGTTGATGAGTCAAGACAAAATTGTGCTTTCACTAGTTTTTGCCCTGCCACGTTACTAACACGTCAGCAACAGTTAGTGAAATTACAAGTTTGTCTGTCACACCACTGACAGCAAGAGCTAACAGAAGTTTGTGAAAAGAATCTAACCTGATGACAGAGGTAAAGTTGGGAACCTCCACGGGTAACTTCCAAACATAAAGGACCCAAATAGTATTTGGGCAATATATGAGGGACCTCCACTGAACTTTTGCCTTGATATAACATTAGTTGCAAGTTACATTAACCTCTATGGACTGAATAATCATAAACCAAGGCAACAATAATCATATAGGAAAATAAACGCTTCAAAAACTGAAACACAAACCTCATTTGTGGTTCCCTCATCATCTTTATAACCAGTATTTTCTAGAATCTCATGAATTGCTGTCAAATCCATTCTGAAGCAAGCATCACCTAGTGGAGAAAGAGAGAGTGACTCTAATGAGGAAGCACCTCCATGTGGCATATCCATTAAGACATATGAAGGGACCTATACATAAAAGACCTTTAAGTTGCATGCGATAGTCATAGAATCACAAATCTGTAGCTCAATAAAACACAAAGATGCACAGATGTAAGCAGTCATCAAGTAGGATCAAGATCAACTGATGCAGTATTAAGTTAAAATTCTGACTGATAGGACTAAATGAGAAATGAGAATAAACATGGAAATTTAGAAAAAGACAGAACGATATAAGAATTGATCCATGCAGTTCATGTTTACTTATATATTCGTACATAATAATAACCATCATCAGGCAGACCAGAATTGGGAAGTATGGTGTTTGAAGTGTGCTCAGAGTATATAGAGCGACATGAACATTATGAACAAATTACACAATTGGTGGTCAATAGTTTCAGGCAATATTCTAAAAGCATTTCCATATGCGTAATGATGATAATATAATTTACCAATTTATTATGTTTATGTGCAGAGTCAATTACATATTGACTCAATCATTGCCTTTAAAGCACCACGCACACACATACACACAAGAAAGGAAAAAGGAAAGCAGAATTCCTGGTTCCATCCCGGAACCACATAGATAACTGGAACACAGAAGACTGACATATTACCTAAAATTCCCCCCAAGGCCCAATTTCTAGACCTTATACAGACATGGTTACAAAATCTTCAAACTTGTAGTCTAATAATTGTGGTTGCTGGGATCGTGGTGGCAGGAACTGTAGAGAATAGAGAAAACCCTAATTGTTTTATTGAGAATAACAAGAGAAATATATATAGCCATACAAATAGGGTTAAGGTTAACGGGTAACATCCCATTAACCCAATACCCAATATTTAACTTAACACTCCCCCTCAAGCTGGAGCATAGATGTCTACCATGCCCAGCTTGTCACATATAGTAGAGAACACATTTGAAGAAGTAGCCTTGGTAAGAATATCAGCAAGTTGTTGTGAGGACGGAGTGAATATGAGAGATACTATCTTCTTCTCCCAAGCATCTCTGACAAAATTACAGTCAACTTCAATATGTTTTGTCCTCTCATGAAACACAGGATTCTGTGCAATATAAATGACAGACTGGTTGTCACAATGCATTGGCATGGGTCCAGGCTGAACAAAACCAAGCTGTCATAAACTTTCTTAGCCACACCATCTCACAAGCAGTGTGAGTCATTGCTCTGTATTCGGCCTCTGCACTAGATCGTGATACTACATCTTGTTTCTTGCTTCTCCAAGTCACAAGATTACCTCCAACAAAAGTACAAAATCCTAAGGTTGACTTCCGGTCTCCCATGTCTCCTGCGTAGCCAGCATCAGAGAAAGCCGAAATGTGAGTATGCCCATGCTTCTTATATAACAATCCTTTGCCAGGGCAACTCTTGACATATGCCAAAATCTTCAGAATATAACAATCCTTTGCCAGGGCAACTCTTGACATATGCCAAAATCTTCAGAGCTGCTGTCCAATGAACGTCTCTAGGTTTGTGCATAAACATGCTCAATACACCTACTGCAAAAGTAATATCAGGTCTGGTAACTGTCAAATATATTAGCTTCTCAATTAGTCTCCTATATCGTCCAGCATCATCTAGGAGAGAGGTATCATCACGCCACAAATCAACATTTGCCTCCATTGGAGTGCTTGCAGGTTTGCATTCCAAGAGACCTGCTTCTTCTAGTAAATCTAGCACATACTTCCTTTCGGACAATAACATGCCATGTTTTTTATATGCAACTTCAATCCCAAGAAAATACTTTGGCTTTCCCATGTCCTTAGTGATAAAATGACGGTTTAGATACTCCTTAGTCTCAGTTAAGACAATAGAGTCACTCCCAGTCAGCAGAATATCAACATATACGGCTAAAATAACCAAACCAGTTGTTGTGCGTCGAAGAAAGACAGAGTGATCAGACTGACAACGTTGGAAACCAACATTAGAAATAACCTTGCTGAACTTATCAAACCAAGCTCGAGGACTCTGCTTTAACCCATAGATGGCCTTTCTTAGTCTGCATATAATATTCTCCCCCTGAGCAACATACCCAGGAGGTTGCTCCATATAAACCTCCTCGTCCAAATCACCAACAACATACCCAGGAGGTTGCTCCATATAAACCTCCTCGTCCAAATCACCATAAAGGAAAGCATTCTTCACATCTAGTTCTCCTCGTCCAAATCACCATAAAGGAAAGCATTCTTCACATCTAGTTGGTGCATCGCCCAATCCATATTGACAGCCAGAGAGAAGAATTCTGATGGAGTTGAGATGAGCAACGGGAGAAAAGGTTTCAAAATAGTCGACGCCATATGTCTGGGTATAGCCTTTCGTAACCAGGCGAGCTTTATAACGGTCAACAGACCCATTGGGGCGATATTTTAGGGTATACACCCATCTATAACCAACCACAGTCGCTCTAGTAGGAAGAGAAACCAAGTCCCAAGTCCCTCTAGAAAGTAGTGCATTTATTTCCTCATCCATGGTCTGCTTCCAAGCTGGTACTAACATAGCTTCCTCATATGACCTAGGTATAGATACAGTGGACAAGGACAAGACAAACTGACGAAAAGATGGGTTGAGACGGTCATAAGAGACAAAAAGAGATATAGGATATTTCGGGCAAGACCGTTTACCTTTTCGAAGAGCAATAGGGATATCCAAGTCAGAAGGAATAGAGGCCTTAACATGAGATTGACCGACAGCTGGAGATGAAGGTTCAGTAGTAGCAGATTCAGGGGCATGTACTTTTGGACGGCAAGAGTATGTCAGTAGAGGCTTCGGTGCAGGAGCAACAGGAGCAGGTAATGGAATAGTAGTAGGAGCAGAAGAAGGTAGTGGTACCTGTGGACAGCCAATAGTAGTGGAACCAGACGAAAAATATGGGACATACTCAAAAAAGGTAACATCAGCAGACACAAAATATTTCCTGATGGACGGATGATAACACCTATATCCTTTTTGAGTACGAGAGTATCCAACAAAAACACATTTGATGGATCTAGAATGACAACTTATCCAAACCAGCAGTTAAATCCTGAACAAAACACGTAGAACCAAAGACATGGGGAATCACAGAGAATTGTTTTTTATCAGGATAAAGACAATTGAATGGTATTAAACCATCAAGGACAGAGGAAGGCATGCGATTAATCAAATAATTTACAGTGAGAACAGCATCAGACCACAAATACTTTGGAATATTCATATGTATCATCAGTGTTCTAGCAACATCTAGAATATGCCTATGCTTCCTCTCAGCAACTCCATTTTGTTGTGAAGTGTGAGAGCAAGAAGTCTGATGAATAATGCCATTAAGAGCACAAAATTTTGAAACATCACTTTTCATATATTCCAAAGCATTATCAGTACGAAGAATACGAACAGAAGTAGAGAACTGAGTTTTTATTTCATTATAAAAGAGTTCAATAACGTGCGAGACCTCTGACCTCTCTTTTAACAGATAAAGCCACGTCATGCGAGAGAAATCAACAAAGATAATAAAATATCGAAAACCTTGCACAGAGGAAACACGATAAGGACCCCAGACATCGGAATGAACCAACTCAAAAGCAAAACTACTACGTTTATCGACTCGACTCTGAAAAGTAGCACGATGGTGCTTACCCAGTTCACACGACTCACAACCTAAAGAGGAAATAGATGGCTGAACAGAAACTACCGATCTAAGTTTTTGTAGTGAAGGATGACCCAGACACCAGTGCCATAATAAAGTGGAGTCAGACTGTGATGCAACAAGGCCAGCTTCTGGCACACTGTCGTCCAAATAGTACATACCTCCTCTCTCATGCCCCGAACCAATCTTCATCCCAGTTGCTAGGTCCTGAAAAACACAATAAGATGAAAAGAATGTGACTTTACAATTATTTTGTTTTGTAAACTTGCTAATGGATAATAGGCTAACAGGAAATTTGGGAACATATAACACATCAGTTAGTTTTAAAGAGGAAGTAGCATGAACTACTCCATCACCACGAACTGAAAAAAGAGTACCATCAGCAATGCGGATAGAAGAAAACTTATCAGAAAGATGTAAAGATACAAAATGATCCTTTATACCTGTCATATGAGATGAGGCTCCAGAATCTAGTACCCAGGGTTTGTGAGAAGAAGCTATGTAAGCATCCATACCTGAAGAGGATGCATGAGTAGCAGAATGAATATTCTGAGAGAGTTCTAGCTGGCGTAACCTCTCATAATCTGCCTGAGAAATCTGAACAGTAAGAGCAGTAACAGCTGGACCACCAGAAGTAGTAGCAGAAATAGATGAGTTAGTCGACTCTGTATCAGCTACCTGGGCCCACTGAGGACGACCAAACTTCTCCCAGCACTTCTCAGAAATATAATTGGTTCTCCCACAATGACCACACTGTCGTGAACCCTTATCAGATTCACCTTGCATCCCACCAAAGGAACCACGTCCTCCTCCTGAATCACGGCCACGATCACGACCGCGGCCTTTGCCTCGATTAGAGAACATGGCAGACTGATCCATCGTAGGTGAAGATGGTGTAGTAGTATCAGAAGTAATACCAGTAGTGACCTGCATGACTCTGGAGAATGTAGCAGTCAGTGAGGGAATTGTATCTCCACCCAATATCTGTCCTCTCATCTTGGACTGTAAATTAGGATTCAACCCAGAAAGAAATTTGGATACTGCCAGATCACGACGATACCCTAATAGCGTCGCTGCATCAGCTACTGCCGGCTGATGCATCTCTAGTTCGTCTATCAGTCCCTTCAATTCACCAAAGAATTCCGGAACTGACTTATCTCCCTGTTTGAGCGCAAACAATCGTTCATAAATTTCAAATACGCGAGAAACATTCTTCTCGTTCCCGTACATAATCTTTAGGCTGTCCCACATCTCCTTCGCAGTGGTTAAAAACATAACGCTGCTACTGATCTGTGCTTCCATACTGTTGAGAAGCCAAGTCATAACACTAATCAGATGAGAGCCATGAATTGTAGGTGGGATCTGAGGTTGGTGGTGGAGATGCAAGAAGATGTGGTAGTTTGCTCTGAGCGCCAATGAAGATGCGAAAAGCTTGTGTCCAGAGCAGATAGTTTGCACCATTCAATTTAATAGTAGTCCCCAAGACTACCTTGGGCGCAGAGGTCTCACCAGTAACAATAGAAGGAGTAGTAGAGGAGATGTCCGATATCGGAGTAGTAGTCATTTTTTATTTTTGAGCAACAATAGGAGACAAATAGTAATCAAATAGGCAGATTAGTAGTAGAGATCAGTTTTCAAAACATAAACTAAGAGCAGATCAGGAGCAGGATTAGAGGCAGAGTGATAGATAGTCATGCCCTCACACTGCGTAGGCGAGATCACCTGAGGGAGAGAGCCCTGGCTTTTGTTTGCACAAAGGCTCAATTTCTATATTCTTGTTTCTCGAAGGAAACAAGAATAAAAGTAAAATATCTCAACAATGTGAGATAGACACTCTTCCTCTCATCAGTTCTATGACTGAAATGTCGAGGCTTCCTCTCATCAGTTCTATGACTGAAATGTCGAGGCTTCCTCTCATCAGTTCTATGACTGAAATGTTGAGGGATACAATCGTCCTCTCATCAGTTCGAAGACTGAGATGTCGAGGGAATAGGCAACACGATGTAGGGGGCACTATAGCACGGCACTGTAGCGACGGCAGCACTGTAGCAGCAGGCGATGGTACTGTAGCAGCAGGCGGCGGTACTGTAGCAGCAGGCGGCGGCTAGGGTTTTTGAATGAAGATTTGTGACGGCTAGGGTTTCATGCTCTGATACCATGTAGAGAATAGAGAAAACCCTAATTGTTTTATTGAGAATAACAAGAGAGATATATATAGCCATACAAATAGGGTTAAGGTTAACGGGTAACATCTCATTAACCCAATACCCAATATTTAACTTAACAGGAACAATTTGGGCAAATAATCGGCTACAGTGTCATCATTTATCATGTCATTTGACGAAGGTTTCAAATAAACACAACAATCGACCACAAAGTGCATGTTCGACTATGATGCAATATATGAAGGACTCAAATAAACCTGAGAAACAAACTCCTAAATGAGTTCCAAGAAAGAGAATTTGGTATCATAAAAATTTCAGTCAGAGACTAGTTTATTGACATTAGACCAGAGAATCCTTATGGAAAATAAGTTCTTCCAAAAGATGACTTCAGAATGAATTGTTACGGTCCAGAGGAAAGTTGCACTGAACTCTCTCAGTCTAACACGCACATGCATGAACTAAAACAAACACAGAGACAGAGAGCGCGCTGGGAGGAGGGGGGAGGGAGGGAGGGAGATTCACCTCATTCTCCTTTTGAAGAGGAGTCAACGCAAGAACTAAGGACTTTACATTGGGTCGCTCTCGCTGCTCGTATTGTAAACACCGAGAAGCTAAGCGAACTAATTCTGTCCCGTCCTCATTCGAAAACTGACCTTCCAAACAGGAATCTGTTAGCATATGAAAATTGCGATCTTTTATCAAGTCAAGAGCCTGCAAAAGAAATTATAAGATAACATTAGATGAGAGGAAAAACATAAGATCTTCTATTCTTGGTAATACTATATTTCTAGCGTTTATGGGGGAAAACAGGCAAAAGGACCATGAATATGAGTTTACTAACAAATCAGAGCAGTTCGCAACTTACTCAAGGAAAAGACTAATATGGACACAGATAACAACTGAAGCACATGAAAGTGTCAACACCAGAACGAAACAATCTGGTTCACGTAATCAAAACATGTTGAACACTCTTGACAATATATGAAAGAGAAAGTAGTTCCTTGCAAAATTAGTTAATTAACTTTAGGTAGAATTATGTACATCAGATATCTAACCATGATGATGTTAACCAGAGCAAAAAGATTGAAAAATATATGACATGGAGAAAGAGAAAGGAACCAGATAAAGATATTCCATGTGAGACAGCTCGCCAATTCTCTGTCATGCACTACTCTTCTAGCCTATCCGATTGTCTATATAAAAGAAATAGTGGAAGCCGAACAATTATGAAGGCAATAACAAGGTACACGAAAATATATGGTAGTGCCAAAAGTCAGTACTACATCAAAGGTCCAATAATTACAGTAATAAGCAAGGGAAATCTGTAAGGATGGAGCACAATTGGCAGTAGAAGAAATACAAAAAACAACGAAAGAGAAACTGCAAGTAATAACATAGATAACGATGGAGTTCAGTTTCTAGGAGGCAAGAAACATCTTAACAAAAACATAAATGGACATTGTGAACTATGCATGAAACTGTGGAGAACTCAATCGACAGTAACTCACCAATCAGATTACTAGCAACAGAATTCATATCTACAAGGTAAAAACTACATGATGAGGGTGTTTAGGGGAACTATTTTCAGAAGCTTTTAAAATATGTTAAGCTTTTGGTGGCTCTTGACTTTTACGATAAAAATTTTATAAAAATTGTATGGGCAGAATAGTCATTTGCTTGGTCATTCCTAGCTTATTTAGGTGAGTAATAAGCTACTTTTTCATTAGTTTGGGAATCCTAACTTTTTAAATGGACTTAAAAGCTAGCTTGTTTGGGATGTTACCTAACACGTGGATATCAATAAGCTAACCTAAAAGCTACCTTGACCAAAAAATAAGCCCCTAGACACCCTCAATTTTAGAAAACGGTAAACTTTGATGTTGAATGTCACGTTTACAAGAAACGGCCCTCCTTTGCTGCATCTTTTCCCTCTCTCCTTCCTCACTGATGACAAGAACAGCCAAATAAACCTTTTACGTAAGGATATTAATGCAGACACCTATAACAGAAATACATCATAAATATGGAATAAACGCAAATTATTGCAGTTGTGCACACATTTAACAGTACCACCACCAAAAGAGGAAACAAACTCGCAGTTGACGTGCATGCCAATTGTCTTGGGAAGATAACTAACAAGTAACATTTTTCATAGATACAACACTCTGCAAAGGTCCAACTTGTCAGCTGTTGATCTTCAAGTGTTCGACTATCAACACAAGTTTCTTCCAGCTCAATCTGTTCTGCCATAGTTTCCTTGACATCTTTTTGGTTTTATCTTCCTCTTTACAATTTCAAGGAGTTGGTCACAGAATCAGAAATTGAAGTACTAGTGAAGATTTACTATTCCCTTTGACAACAGCACCACATTCATCCCAAAATACTAAAGAAGATTTACTATTCCTTTTGACAGTAGCAGCACCCAAAACAGTTCATATGTGAGATTAAAAAAGTAAAACTTACGTGGCTAGGAGGGATATGTTTGCCACTGAGCACATCAAGTAACAGTGTACCAAAGCTATATATCACACTTTCAGGTGTAACTCTTCCTGCACATCATATAAAAAGTAATGTATATAAACAATTGATAAGAAAATGCGAGTATGTAATGTGTATAATAATGCCGATATGGCAATATCATTGTAGTTAAGATGCATATCAAGGCACAAAACAACAGTCACTTTCTAGGATAAGCAGATGATAGATGTTTTTTTCTTATACATGTTAGATAAAAGAGTGAATTCGAATAGAAAATCATGAAGAATAAGCCAGCCATATCACTGATGGGAATCATTCATGATTGCTGAGTAAGAGACCACACAAACAATCGTAATATTTTGGACAAGACATGATGCACAAAGCTCTATTAGATACCAGAAAGAACAAAAATATTGAGTACCTAAGTAGAATTGATAAGCATTCCCTCATATATCAGCAAAGATGAACTATTTATTTGCATCTTTCTCAAAGGGACTCACAAGAAAAGGAGGTTCAAGAACAGCACTATACAAAAGCACTATACTGAGAGCTATGGAACTCAGAAATGATTTAAAATTCAAAAGTTTCTTGTGAGCATGTCGAAGATGCATAGACGCCCAACAAGCAAGCTACACATCAGATGCAACAGAAAGATAGATTACTTTAAAGCAGGCGTTCAAGTGCAGGCATACTCAGATGTTTACTTTTGTAAGGAGTGATACCCAAATAATTCTATACAATCGTTATGTGTGTGGATTTGTATTTTTCGTGTTAGTTTATAGCGCATTGTTACGTGTTTCATTGTGATTGTTTTTAATTCTTACTTCGATGTGTGGCCAATCAGAAAACCCTACTTTTGTCGAAGTTTTAAAACAATATCAAGTACTTGATACAGTATAATTACTTATTAAGGTATCCACTCCCCTCCCGAGAGAGAGAGAGAGAGAGAGAGAGAGAGAATTATCACCGCATATCAACTACTAATTTCATTCAACACGTTTCGTGTGTTGTGGTTTGTAGACATTATTCAGAGAATAAAAGTGGCTTCTTAAGTGAAAATATAAATAGATAAATAATCAAACTCAAGATGCAGCATATACCTGTTCTCAAATACTCCGGCGGTGTGAATGCCAAATTTGTGCTATAACTTTTACCATCCCGACTATTCTTCATCAGTCCAAAGCATGAAAGCCTAGGATTGCAGTCCTGGACAATGCTAATTCACAATGAGAGATACAAAAACAACAAATGTAGTAAAGAAAAAAAGGAGAAAATTAGTGGACATCCTATTCTTACTTCGTCAAATAGAACTCTATAAGCATTGAGATCATGATAAAGAGCACGCCCCTTGCTAGTGCAGTATTCTAATGCTTCAGCCAGATAAAGTACCACCCTCAATCGCATTGGCCATTTCATGGGTTGTGTTTCCCCTGCGTGAAAGGGGTAAAGAGATCATTATGCAAAATACAGTTAATCTGAAAAGAAAAGAAAAATTACACACTATGTGTTAGAAGAAAAGTCGGAAAGTCTATGCCACAGGATGATCACCAATATTAGCAAAAAAGAAAAAGAGAGAACAAATGCAATAACTAGATAACCGCAAAAGAAAAAATCTGAACCGCCAGACAAAGGACAACTCAAAGGTAAATATTCCTGACAATAAATTGTAATCATGAATATCTACAAGTACATAGGATATCACCACTTTACTTTTATCGTGAAAAGGAAAAGTGTACATTTCGCTTACTGTCTTCCCTTTGAATAATTTTGTGGATGGACTTTTGCAACTTCTACAAATACACCAAGAGATGCCATTCTATCCATAAATAAGTATGAAATTGTCAATTATTACATTTTATCTTTTTGCTTACAGTAACTATTGCAACATGTCTATTCAGTTTCAAGTGGGCTGGTATAGCAAAAGACACAACGTTCAAATTTAGCCCCATGTTGAAATGGGAGTAAGATGCATAACTAGTTATATAGATACAAATTGCAACTTAGGGTTAATGTTTTCAACCAGTGCAGTTCCAAACTACTAACCAGATCTATCTCCATTTGCAGCCTTTTACAAATAGTAAGTGGTATCACAGTCCAGGGTCCGACGGCCATTGAATATTAATGCTTGTCACTCCAAGAAAATGAGACTTTGTTGTAGGAAAATAGAGAAGGCAAAGTCTTTATTATTCATCTAACATTAACCTCTCTTAAATAGAGATTAGGAGCATAATACAAAATAGGTATGAGATTAAATTATACCTAATCACGTCTCACAATATCTCAACAATATCTTATAATATTAATTAAATCTAATAATACCAAGTTATTATTAATATCTAATACTCCCCACAAGCTAGAGCATAGATACCACATATGCCGAGCTTATTACAAATGGGAATAAAACAACTAGTTGCAAGAGCTTCGGTAATGTCGTTTTTGTCTGGAATACTTAAAGACATCAACAATCAAGATATTATGGTCATAGCCAATAAAAACCTTAGGCAAGTAAGCCAGGAAAAGAAACCCTAGGAATGTGAGTCGGTAAAAATCCTAGGCGGGTCAGCCAGTAAAAATCCTAGGCGGGTTAGCCAGTAAAAACCCTAGGCGGGTCAGCTAATAGAAACAGTAAGGGAAAACCCTTGATTGATCAATCACTCACTTAGTCGCTCAATCTTGATTTTAGAAATCCTTCTACAAGAAAGATGACTTAACTGGAGGCAGAGTCATAAAGGAAGCAATGGCGATTGTCAAAGTTGACCGGGATGAGGAGGCAGGATGAACAACAACTTCACTATTATTCACGTGATGAACAGGATTCATGCAATGATGAATAGTACTCCGATGAACATTTTTTCCTTTTTTGGGAAAATAGAGATGTTATTTTAGAGGCTTTTTTATGAGGATTTAGATATTGGTGATACCGAAGTAGTAGTTGGAGTTAAAGATGTCGAAGTTGCTGAGGGGAAGTATGGAGGCATTGCAAACCCCCTCGGCGATCCCGAGGTCGAGGAAGAAGAAAGATGTCTCTCTAGAATCAAAAATGCTCTGATACTATGTAGAGAAATAGAGAAGACAAAGTTTTTATTATTCACCTAACTCTAAGCTCTATTAAATAGAGATTAGGAGAATATTACAAAATGGGTATGAGATAAAATCATATCTAATCATGTCTCATAATATCTCAGCAATATCTCATAATATCTACTAAATCTAATAATACTAAATTATTAATAATATCTAACAGTTGGCATATGAGGTTAGAGGTTAAGGTGGACGCACTGCTACTAGCGGAGCCAAGAATTTCAGGAAGGGGGTCCAAAAAATTAACAATTAAAATGCGATGACGTATAATCTTTCATGTTTTAGAGTTAGTCCCTCTAATCATTGAAATTGTTGTTAGGTTCTCAATTTGTAAGTTATTTTGAAGTTGGTCCTTCCAATCAAATGTAGAAGCAACAACTAGAGGAATTAATTTGAAAGAAAAATTATGAGAACTTAGGGATCTAATAGCAATTTTTATGATTGGAGACTGGAGAGACTAATTCTTGTTCAATTGCTACCTGTTCCACTATTGATTTGAGGGTCTAATTTCAAAATAACTCAAGATTTGGGAGATGTAAAAGCAGTTTCAATGATTTGAGATTAATTCCAGAATAATTTAGACTTAGGGAAGCTTATAGCAAGTTCAACGATATGAGAGACTAACTTTATAATATAAAAGATTTAAGGGACTAATATTGAAAAAACCCAAAAATGAAAGAGTCCAAGGCCTGTTGGCTAGTTGCTGCACTTTTCCATCCACAAAACACCAAACTTCCTTGTCTCAATGCACCAAACAATGATCCTAAATGACAAAGAATTCACGACCCCAAAAGTAAAAGCACTATTCATCTTCTTTAATTTCTTTGAACCCAGGTCCAGAGAGCCCAACCCCTCCTTTGATCTCTTTTCTAGCACCAATGAATCCCTTCCATTTAACAACCGATTTTGAGAAGGTGTTATTGCAGTTTAGATTTATGAAATTACTAAACAATTACCCCCATTAACTTCTTATATTTTTCAGGTAAGGCCAAGGCCCCTTAGGCCCCTACATAGCTCCTCCACCCCTGCATACTGCCCCTATTGCCAAAGTTTGAGCAGGGTGTGATCACCACTAGCATGGCTTAGGGTTAAGTAAAGTGCGTGTGATTGCATTATGGTCTAGAGTGAATTGGTTCTTTCGCATAGCGCAGGTTGGGTTGTTGTCTCCCTTAGTAAGTTGAGGGGTTAGACTCAATTGGATGCAAATCAAGGTGGAGACGTTGAAGTGTCGCATTCATGTAGTTTCAAATTAGTTTGATATATCAAAAGGAATAAAGTTAAAATTTACTCCTAAAACAAAAATATGAGACTATATACGGTTAAATAAGTCTATGGCACATAGCTCGGATAGGTTTTAAACTTCTGAGCTAAAGTGGTTCTAAGCTTATTAGACAAGTTCATCTCCATTTGTAGGCCTTTGCCCCCAACAGCAACCACCACGCTGGCACTATATCACTATGAATAAGTAAAGTTATGATTATACTTTGTAGGAAGTAAATTAAGACATTTTGTGCAAATAGAAAAAGATTTACTGCTATTTGTATTGTGTTAATTCTTCGTTAAGTTGGTTATGGACTATCCACTAACAAAAATAAAACTAAATGATGAACCAGAGAGAATATTAGCTTAGCATATCGACATTGAGAATGTACTTTGGGCTTTTAGAGAGAAGCATATATGATATATGGTATGTCTGGACTAAGGAAGTAAGGATCTCATGCAAGGTCAATATCTCACTGTGTCTGTGTGTGTGTGTCTGTGTGTGTGTGTGTGTGTGTGTGAGAGAGAGAGAGAGAGAGAGAGAGAGAGAGAGAGAGAGAGAGAGAGAGAGACGGATCTAATGAAGAGGCGTATGGAGGCACTTGCCCCAATACAATTTGAAAATTTTTATTAAGGGGATTTACATATTTATATAGGTGCCTCAATACAACTTGCATAGGTGCCCCCATAAGCTTGTTAACTCATAAAATTATGAAGGCTTATTGTTGGAGGAACTTAGTAGTGTTTTGTTAGATTTTGTGATGAAAATGAAATAATCTTGTATTAATATGAAAATGATAATGAAAAGTATTATGTTCAGATTTTTAGGATTATTTTATAAATAAGTCTTTCTACTAGTAGAATTTATACTATATAAACTATTTAATACATACATATAATTGTGTATGTGCCCTCACAAGAAAAAGTTTCTAGATCCATCCCTGGAGAGAGACTACTTAGAAAGAGGTGCTCAATTATTAATATAATTAAAACTGGAAGACAGTGAAGAAATATAACAATGATTAATAAAGAACTTGAATATTCATAACTATCAGAATGGATGTCTAGGGAAAAAAAGAATATGACTGGTCATTATCAATAAAATGAGGGGATAGAAAATATCATAAAACAGGATGGTAACTTGTGGAGGTAGTTCCTTGGAAGAGATTAAGCTTCATAGAAATAGCTAAAGTTAAAGACTAGTATCATACACTAAGAACTACAATACAACTGCATCCACAGATCAAATTAAACTCAGTGAAAATGCAAGGATGTCATTATCCTTCAAATAAGAAAATTAATATAATTTTCAATGCAAAGGTATGTGGAATTAAATGAATATAGCATCTGAGATAGATCCCAGACAAATATAATGTTTTTCCATATAGCAGCATCCACAAGCAACTTACAGTGAAAAAGGTGCTTTGCAAGAGTGTCATTAGGCATGTATTCTGCCACTAGCAGCCTCTCTTCACCTTCACAACAACAACCAAGCAAATTCACCAATCTATTGCTCCGAAGCTGACCTACAGATTTTGCTTCTTCCTGGAATAAAACAAGTTGTCAATGAAATTGCATTATAAGGAAAAAAATGGTAGCCTATTGCATGATGTTGACAAATAGATATCATGCAATATGATTCAAACATCTTTGATAACCTAACAGAATAGAGTACTTGAATAATAGATAATTCTAGACAGGAATATGCTATAAGGAGAAGCATCAGAATAGCAAAACTATGCAAATGTACTAATCAAGCTAAAATTTATATACGAGCAGAGCAAAGCATTTCCTGATGTTACTGATGTCGTTGTTGTTGGGACGGATCAAGTCATTTGAGGCTCACTCTCCTAGCCGTGCTCTGAGACCTGTTACTCTTTCACTAACTATTGTTCTAAGACTTGTCACTAACTTTTTTTAGGGTGGTCAGGGGGTGGTAGGAAGCTGTCTTTGTTTAGGGAGAGAAGGGAGGATACGAGGGTTTTAAAAGCTTATTTAATCAAATGACCTTATTAGAAGAGAACCAGGCAATTTAAACTTATTTTTAAAAAATAGCATCCTAAGGGGGTCTATTGCAGAGTGGCTTACCTAGGTAGGCCCCTAGTGGTATGCTAGATTTAGATGCTGACAGTGCAAAATGCAAGCACCTTGCTTCTAAATTGCATAACCGCTTCCAACTAGCAGCCCAAGCATCCGTACTTCACAACACTGATTTCACTAAGGATTTTAAGTAAAGGATTTTGAGTAAAGAATATGAGTAAGATGGATAGATCAGTGAATTCTCTACCTACATTTAGCAAAGGGCGTTGCTGAGTTTTCAAAAAGTTGGTTTTGTCTTGAAGATTGATTGTGAGAAAGCATATTGTATGGAAAAGTTGGTATGGAAAATAGTTTCAAGAAAGTCATGCGTTAGTTGCAAGCAAGTTATTGGTGGGGCCATGAAAATTTTTCATAGTTAAGCTGCTTCTGCAAAAGCAATATAGAATGGAGATCTCCAAGCTTAATGTGATTCCTTATCTCTACCAGCATCATCTATGCTAAGGAAGAACCATGATCTCATAATATTGCCCAAGCCTAACCATCTAGCTCCGATACCCTAAAGATCCTAGAAATACTACCTTGACAAATAACTTGGACGGTGACATAGCGATTGTGACTTACACTTGCCTTGTCCTTTTAAATGCCAAAAATTCCTAAACAGTGATAACATTTACGGTGACAGTGGAGGTCGTTCCAAAGTTAACGGTGTGGAAGAGTGATTGAATTTACAGGTTAAAGTGAATATAAAACTGCACTTAACTTAATTTACCATCCTATGGAGGAAGCCATGTGCAAGGGAAATATCTTACAGCAGCTATACCACAATATTTTGTGACTGAAAAAACAAGAGGTAAACTATGTGCCAAGCAAGGAAATTTTGAATTATAAACATTGATATAGTTTTTTCCTCGAATGGACTATTTTCCGTGGAAAGCAAGTGACCTACTCCCATCACATCATGGATTGTCAGTAAACCACTTCATATAAAAGCTTAAGCTTTTATTTCTAGATTGACAATGTATATCAATACTCTCCTAATGCGGAAGACATCATTTATTATCGTGCGGATGGAGTACAATACACATGTGAAGGACCCATAACTTTTTGATTGTGAATATAATAAGTACAATATGTCTCAGCCCACATTCATGTCAATGGTCTTTTGCTCCTTAGTACTCTCATATCATATCATCAAAGCAATGTTCAAAAACACGCGGCACTTGCTCGAGTAGTCCTACATGACATCAAAACGTGTTGGGTAGCTAAATCCCACTCGATTATGCGATCAAACTGCATAATTGAGCAGTTGAAGAGTATTATGCCCGCATAGTGAAATTAGGCAAAACTTCAATATACCTCCCTAATGTTTTAGACTGATTTCATTTGGGTCCTTAACTTTTGAAATCATCAATAGAGGTCCTTAACGTTTACCCCATTATCAAATTTGGTCCATTTTATTTTTTATGTTAACTTTTGCTGATGTGGCATGACTTTTTGGTTATTTTTGTTTGGAAAAATTGCTTCCACCCCTTTGATTTTCAAAAATCAAGCTTTGTCCCCTAAGTGAAAACTTAAAAGATTTTACCCCTCTAAACATTTAATTCACATTGTCAAGCCCCTATCTCCCCAATATTATTTTGATGTATCACTAAAATACCCCTAATTTTCCATATTTTAAAATTAGTCCTTCAAATCATGGAAATTGGGCTATTGGGCCCCTCAATTCATAAGGTACTTTGAAATTTGTTCCTCAAATCCTTAAAATTGTTGTTAGGTCCTTCACTTAAGATATTTTGAAATTAGTCCATCAAATCAATAGTGAAATTAGAAATCAAAGGGATTAACTCAAAACAACTTTGGGAATTGTGTGATCTAATAGAAGTTTAGATAATTTGAGGCTAAGTTCTCTCAAATTGATATTTTTACTCTTCATAGGAGGGATGAATTTCCAAATAACTTGAGCATTACGGGACCTAATAGCAATTTTAATGATTTGAGGAACTAAGTTCAAAATACCTCATGAATAGAAGGACCCAATTGCAATTTCCATGATTTGAAGGACCAAATTTTGAAGTATGGAAAAATAGGGGTATTTTAGGGATAAATGAAAATATTGTTTGAGAGAGGGAGCATGACAATGTGACTTAAATGTTTAGAGGGTTAAATCTTTTAAGGTCTCACTTAGGGGGCAAAGCTTGATTTTTAAAAATCTGAGGGGAGGAAGCAATTTTCCAAACAAAAATAACCAAAAAATCATTCCATATTAGCAAAAGTTAGCAGAAAAAATAAAAAAGGACCAATTTTGATAACAGAGTTAATGTTTATAACCGCTAGTGATGAGTTTCGAACAATTAGGACCCAAATGAAATCGGACTAAAACATTAGAAACTTATATTGAAGTTTTGCCATGAAATTATGCAAGCGCATAATTTACCCAATCCTACCCTACCCGCACTTAATTACCCTAACGTTTCTCGATCGCTACCTCGAAAGATCCCAAAAAATATGCTTCTTTAAAACCGTATACCTAGTCACCTCCACATAGTCTCCTCCCCACCGCCACCAGTTGCCTCTAAATCACCACCTCCGACTGCTGTCGAATGAAGACACTGACAAGGGCCATCTCCATTCACCGCTTCCGCCAGCACTTGCTACAAGGACGATGACGAAGACTAGAACAAAAGTTCTATTAGTACTTTAAAGCGTTATGACCTGTGTGAGTGTCTTAAGTTTATGAAGTCTTAATAGTTTTACTTTTAAGTGTACATCAACTTTGACTTGAATGACTTGGGGTAGTCTTTTGCTTAGAATATTTTATATTTTTCATGAATTGTTATATTTTCATATATGATAAATAATTTGTGCATTGAAAATTTCAAAAATGCATATTTCCGCATAATCCGAGTACTCGCTATATAATCTGACCATTGAATTTTTAATTTAGGTGTCTTTAGTTTATAAACTTTTAATAGGTTTACTTTTAAGTGTATAAAGACTTTGATTTGAAAAGTTTGGGGTATTATTGTTAGTGTTTTGCTTGGAGTGTTCTATATTTATCATGAATCATCATAGTTTTATATATGATAAATAATATATATACTAAAAAACTCAAAAATGCATAATTCCGCATAATCCGAGCAATCATTGTACAGTCCAATTAACCAATACCCGATATTGGACTGTACGCATAATAAAACTATGTTTTTGAACCTCACATTACAGTGTGTTAGCCGTAACTTTTTGACTGAGCACAATGTATACTAAGACTGTCAACACCAACCATTGAGTAGCTACAAGTTGGGCCAATTATAAACTGCACCAAATGTGTGTGGAGAAGCGAAGGACTATGTCCAGACAAGGCAAACAGTAAGCAAACAAAACATGTAGGCGACATACTCGAATATGCAGTAATCTGGACCATTGTAAGCTAAGAAAGTGAGCTTATGTACTCAATCCAAACTGCACAAGGCTGATTGGTCTTAGGGAATTGAGAAGGAATAAAGAAGAAAGAAGCAAAGGTACAAATTAGATGTTTGGCTGCTTCAATTTGGAACCACACGAGACAGCCAATACAAAGAAGAGAGAAAGAGAACACGACAAACTTTGCAAGCTCGAATTAAATGGTTTAAACCACTTGCATACAAGTAGAATGGACTTAGAAATTTTGAGAGCCTAACTAAAATTATATAAATACATAAACAGCTAAATCACTCGATCATGATGCTATGGTTTCCATACCAGATATATGAACCCATAGGAAAGAGAAACTTTTAAGACAATATTGGGAAAAGGTATCATAAAGCAAGAAAGAATATCATTTGTCTCAAATCACTATATATTTAGAAACTTGAAAGGTTATTGGTTACTTTTATAATTGTCAATGCTTTTTTTAGCATCTATCAAGCATATTAGTACTGCTAGAATCACACTCAACAGTTTCACCTTTGGCACAAAGGTGTCCATTCCTATATTTAGATTATCTATTAAGAAAAGAAATATTTCGTTATTCACTGATTATTGAGGGGACTAATACCTTATATATACAAATATTGTAATATCAGTAGATACAGAAAGTCCTATGGAACCGGAAGTTTAATAAGAAAGGAAACACTATAATAAAAGAAAGTCCTGTTGAAGTAAAATACTATATCTAACATCCCCTTCAAACTCATCACAGATCGATAACTGAGAGTTTGGTTAGCAACTAATTCAAGTTCGGAGGGGGGAAATTTTTTGTTTGGGCCTGCGTGTAAGAGTTGACGTCCGCTAGATAGACGATGAAAACCCAACAAAAATGAATAAAGCCGACATCGAGGGATTGATGGCCTAGGAGCAAATATTACCAAGAGAAACTTCATTGAAAGCAAATAACACAGACATTTACCATACACCCACCATTAAATTTTATAAGAAGTATATGCTGAGTACTTACTTAATTAGTCCGACAAATCACCGAATGACACTCACAACAAAAGAAAAAGAGCACCAAAGTTACCAAGAACTGTCGAGGATCAGGCCACGCCGATCTATTAAACCTCTTCACCGCAATCTTCCTCTGAGCATCAAGCTTCCCCTTATAAACAACATTCGGCGCCTTCTCCCCGTGCTCCGACACTATATTCTCCGCCGCGAATCCCGACGTCGCCAGCCTCAGCTGCTCAAAACTGTACTCCTGAAACTGCGGCAGATTGTATCCTCCATCCCCTTTCTCCTCGCTCTCTACAATCAACAAAAAATCAAATCCTAATTACATCAATCCCCAAATCCAACAACGCCAACGGAAAAAAAAATCCTTTTTTTTTTGTGAGGAAATAATTTTTCAAGATTCAGTAAGCTCACCAGCATCCGGAGCTTCTAGAACAGTCGAATTGAACTGAGAACCCCAGCAGCAAGCTCTCAGCTTCGAAGTTCGGGATCCCATCGCAAGCTGATCAGATCAAGCTAGCATCCAGAGAAAAATCCACCATTTAGCTACCCAAAACACCGAAAGCTTATCAAAACAAGTGGAAATTACCTCCTACCTACGCGATATTCGATTGGATCTCAGCTTCGATCATTCTCCAAAAAGAAAGAATTATTTGCCCTAAATTCTCGTTTTATACCGACATGCCGTCGCTTCAGAAACCCTAGAATTATGATTGCGTATTAGAATAATAGCCGACGGGATTTCTTTTACGATTTTTTATTTTATTTTTATTTTTATTTTTATTTTATTTTTTCAGGTTGCCGTAGAATTTTTAGCTGAGAACAGTGAACGGATGACTCGAACCGACATGCCGTCGCTTCAGAAACCCTAGAATTATGATTGCGTATTAGAATAATAGCCGACGGGATTTCTTTTACGATTTTTTATTTTATTTTTATTTTTATTTTTATTTTATTTTTTCAGGTTGCCGTAGAATTTTTAGCTGAGAACAGTGAACGGATGACTCGACAAATGGCGCGCGTCAGAGCCATTCACCAAGCCCGGCCCCCCTCAATAGCTCCCTCTCAAATCTGTTCACCGCGCACGACCGATTAATTAAATAATTGTTCAGAGCAATAAAATAATTGGTGGGGAGGAAAGGTTTTCAAAGCAGAATCGATGGCTTGAAGAAGACCCAGGAGGGGGGAAAATTACCAGAAGAGCAAGAGGACATGATCATCAGAATTTTGAAGAGGGACGCATTTATGGAGATGACGGAAATGGGAAGGCACGAGCTGGAGAGAGAGGGACAGGGACATCGACGCCGGAGACGGGCGACGGCTAGAACGGGGCGTCGGCGGCTGGAGACGGGCGACGACGAAAAGGGGATCTCGTTTTTTCAATTTAGGGCTGAGGTGAAATGGGGAAGATGAGAGAGTACTGGGTTTTATTGGGCCAATCAAAGGGGTATTTTGGGGTTTTTACAATCATTTTGTATAAATATAAGTAGTAAAAGTATTGTATTTTAGAATTGGCTTTAAAGACAAATACCAAAAGTAAATTGGGTCTAAAGATACAAATAATAGTACTTGGGTTTAAAAATAAATGGGAGTAAACAAATGGGCCTAAAGACAAAAACCCCTAATTTAAAACATATTTTCTAAAAAATTATATTAAGATGTGAATACATATTTCAGCCCTTCAAAATGGTGCTCAACCTGTGAAGCCATATTAAAATATAAAAATATAATATTTAACTCACACCATAAATTCAGAGTTTTTGTGTAACGGTTAGACGGACTTAATTTAGAAGTGAATAGCATGATTAAACAAAACTTACTTCATCGGTCACACGGAAACTAAAGCACGTTCTTTTTTTTAATATAGCAAATGTAAAAGATTTATTGGCTAATGCTAGAACAATCTTCAATGGTGAGAGGGTGAACCGAACTCGGCACCTCCTCCATCCATATACATTTTGAGCACAAAGTTTGAGATAACCTAGCCATGGCGTGTGCCACTTTATTTCCCTCTCGCTTCGCATGTGAGAATGTAATAGAGTGAGAAAAAACACAAAGAGATGTCTTATATCCTCCAGCGGGTCGCTCTTCTTTCATGGTTCAATCATGTCTAATTAATCAATTTTGCAAAAAAGAGTTTCATCCCGCTCATGGTTGTCAATAGGGGTGCATTCGGACCGGATACGGCTTGGATATGATGCTTATCATATCCATATCCGCTTACTCATCTTGGATACGGATACAGATACAGATATACCTCAGTAAGAAAAATTCATATTTATATCTGTTAAAATCGAAGACGGTTACGGATATAGATGCGGATATATAAGCGGATACAAAATGGATATGAGAAAACTAGATAGTATTGAGAAAAACATAGTTCATGTGATACAAAAGAGGTTGTTAATATGTTCATTATAACTAAAAATGTAAGATTAGACATCTTGATTATCAAAATTAACCACAAATCCATAAATTAAGAATCAAAACTATCGTAAGAGTATGACTAATATGTATTCGTATATTTCGGATACGGATACGGATATTTTATTACAAAACCATATCTGTAACCATATCCTATCGGTTATAGATTTGAGTAACCATATCAGTATCCTAACGAATACGGTTACAGATATTTCCTCGGTTATGGATATTTCCTCGGATACGGATACAGTTTAGCACCCCTGGTTGTCAATCCTTAGTTGCGCTGAAGCAGTAATACACCCGAATGCTGCATCAAAATCTTTATGAGAATCTCACAATCGCTTTTCACCACCATATCCTTGAAATGTAATTCTTGAACTAATTGTAATACAGTCGTCAAGGCATATATATATATATGCTTCAGCAACTAACGGAGATGGGCACCTTTCTCTACTTTAAGGGCCTGTTTGGCAAACCCATAAAATTGGGCTAAGTCTGATCGCGGTCCAGTTATTGGGTGTTTTCTATTTGGAAAAAAATTGGGCCAATTTTGGCCGAATTTTTTTAGTTAATTTTCTGACCCTTAAAGCAGGCTAGAGTTGGACTAGCCCCCCTCTGGTTTAATCCTAGCCTGGTTAAGGGAGAATACCAAGTTAAATATTCAAATCTTCCATGTAAATTAAACATGACAACGTCAATATTTAACTTAAATATTCAATGCGGAGAAGGCTTCTCCTTCACCCAAACACCTTAAGCTGGAAGTTTTCTTTCAGCCCACTTACATGCATGTTGATAATATTGTTTAGAGTGGCACTACAGGCACACCTTGTGCCACACCCTCAGCCACACTCCCCTCTCTCTGCTACAGTAACCGGGCCCACATGAGATTTATAAATAAATCTCATGTGGGCCCGGTTACTGTAGCAGAGAGAGGGGAGGGTGGCTGAGGGTGTGGCACAAGGTGTGCATGTAGTGCCACTCTAAATGGAATGGTTGCTTGTTGACTATTCTATATATGTGATAATGTTGAGTATGAACAAAGATCATTCATCATAATTATGCATTGAACTCATACACTCAATTTACTCTATGAAAAAGAATTTTTCAAAACAGCCCCCTTTTAGATTTTTTTTTAATCAACCGGTTTTTTTTATTTATCAAAACCGACCAGTTTTGTGCCACGTCAGCTCAATCACTTTCCTAAACAGTCGGGGTTGCCAACCCCGACGATTTAGGAGGGTGTTAAACCCTAATTAGAAGCCTTAAACCCTAAAAAATCATGTCCTAAACAGTCTGGGTTGGCAACCCCCACTGTTTAGGAAAGTGATTAGGCTGACATGGCAAAAAACGGGTCGGTTTTGGTAAATAAAAAAAACGGTCGATTTTAAAAAAATAAATAAAATGGGGCTGTTTTGAAAAATTGTTCCTCTATGAATTTTCTTCTAATTTTGATTGACTTTATAAAAAGAATTTCTATATATACTAAAGTTAATTGGAAATTAACAATGCTCGTGAATAGTACTCTTATTATATTTAGTATGTGTGTATTACCTTTTAACTGAAACACTTACCTTTACTAGTTGAGATGCATGTGCAATACGCGTGGTTGAATATTATGAGTTGAGATGCACGTGCAATGCTCGTGGTTGAATATCATGGTTATTTAAATTGATAAAAAAGAGTAAAAATAAAAAAAGAAAATAAAGTTTTTCGTGGGATTGATCATCAGCTCGATAATCTCTCTCTCAAATAAAATTTTGTCATTGTTTCATTCAACCCAGACTGTGACCACTGTTAGCCCTTATGTTTTGATGATGTTTTACAACCACCATTATCGGTACTAATAGCTTATTGAGTGAAAATGTAGTAAATTCATTTATCAAGCTCGTTAGTGCCATAAATGGAGGATGGATGGAATATATGCTACAACGATGATATCCAAAGGAGGAGGAGGCCAAGAGATGAAGCAACGTTATTTTAAGAACGTCAAATTCGAATACAAGCTTCATCCGATTCAAGCTATATCAAAGCTCAAGTATTGTTCTTTATATATGAGGATATTAGCTTTCTTTTGTTTCTCTCTCTAGTGCTAGAATGTAGGCAAAGAGTTACTAAGTTTACTTGAAGCTATTGGGAATCACACACACGATTTCATACTTAGGTTTTTAAGCGTTTTTCACAAAATACTATTTTTCACAAGTATGTGGACCTATCTGCAAAATTCCTTTTCTAAATAGTTTGTTTTTAGTATTAAAAACATTTTACAAAGTTTCAGATTTTTCAGAGGTCAAATAAATATTTTGCAAATATTTCAAGTTGGTCAAAAAAAAACTGTTTTCTGCAATATATCAGAAAGCGGTCGACCGGTCCGGACGACCGCTCTCATGACCATTCCTTACTATTTTCCAGAGAGGTCGTCGGTCGACCGGTACGGTCGACCGAAATCTCGACTTTCAAATCGGTCGACCGTGCCGGTCGACCGACGGTGGTTCTGTTTGTTTTCCAAGTTTTCGAAGCAGCTCGCGGTCGTTTCGGTCGACCGAAATTCCCTTCGGTCAACCGATTTGTGTCTTTGGTCAGCCGCGACTTTTTTAAACGGTCGGTTTTTGCCTCGTTCGCTGTGCTTTCACTTATTAGTGTTTGGCACAGTCTGAGCTGAGAGTCTGAAAAGGAGATTATCTTCCTAAATAGGAAGGTTGGGTTTTTGTTTTTAATTGGTTTAAACTCTTTTATAAAAACCCCCCAATCTGCTTCTTCTTCCTTAGCCCTAACGTTTGAAAAACCAGAGAGCCTTTTCTTCTTCCTGAGTAAAATTTTCAAAGCCTGTTTTTCTCTCTGTTTTAAGTGTGATTCACTTCCCAGCTTTAGTAAACCTACTCTTTGCTATAGGGGCTGTGTAAAGAGAGGTTCTTGCATCTTGTCTTCTGCTGTGTGTGTGAGATCTGTGTAGATCGACTGTGAGGGAGTGTGATCTGTTGAGATCAAACCGTGTAGTGAGAGAGATCTGTGGAGATCGCTGTGTAGACGAAGTTCCGGCTTCCAAACCGGGTGTGTAGTGGATTTCTCCTCGAGAGTGGGGAGCGGGGACGTAGGCCAGAGGGCCTAACCTCGTAACACATCGCGCGTCAAGCAATAACGAACTCCTAACCCTATCTCTCTTACTTTCATCGCATTTTTGTTTTGTGTTTTGCTTGTGCTGAATTTATATTGCATATTAGAGCCTCTTGACCCTAATCACCCACCTCTAGGGTCCAACAATTTGGTATTCAGAGCTTGGCTCTCGTATATCATTTTTGCGCTTTAACAACCTTAGAGAAAGATCTAATGGAGGCCTCTTTGAACTATGCATATGTTGAAGGAACAATGCCACCACTTAGACACCACTCTTCACAGTTGACTAATTTTGTTATTG